TAGTTGCCTGCCGCCGACTTCGAGCCATGGCAAACCGACCTACACCACCACCGAATTCAGCTGGCATGGAATGCTATCCTGGGACCGATATGACTGGAGTGGAAATGGAGCTTTTGCGTGAATTGATGCGCAAGGCAGAGCGCAACCAGATGATGACACAGACTCTGTCTTTGCACCAATTAGAACATAAGCATGCTCCTGACCCGCGTCAGGCTGAATGGAATGCACAGAAGGCCGCAGGACAATGGCCAGGATGGAAGGGAACTGGACCGCCTCCAAAGAGTGTGAACCCACCGCCGGCATCGTCTGGGCGACCGCCCAAGATGAACTATGACCCTGACGATGACCCGTGGGCTGCTGCACCAAAGGCTGATCCGCCTGTTTTGCAGATCTTTGGGAATGTTCAGCAAGGCACACCGCCAATTAATCTTCCACCTGCTGCCACTGCAATGCCTAAGTCTGGATTCCCAGAACATTCAGCTGCCGCTATGGGGACAGAATCAGTATTTCCACCAGCAAAGGCTTCTGCTCCTGCACCAGAGAATTCAGCAGCGAAACAGCTGCCTATTCCAAAGCCAAGCGGGCCCAACAAAGCAGCCAGGAATTCAACTCCCAAGCTTGAAGAGGTACCGGAAGAAGTTGATGGGGACGGCAAAAGTGGACGCATGGATGAAAGCTTTAAGAGGAATCGTGATGTCTTTGAGGATGAAGACGAACTCTTTGGCTTTGAATATATTCCAGCAGATGTCTCACCGCCGTGGTTCCCAAATCACCTATGGGGAATTCCAACCACAATTCAGCATAATGCAACGGATTGGAATGACAAGAGTTGGTACCCCAGTTATCAGTCTGGTGACATGGACCCAGCTGTGCCTTATCCAGTGCATGTGCAAGGCATCAAGTCGTGGGCCAGCACGAAGATCAAGCTGAAGAAATGGAGGGACAAAGAAATGTCCTATCATGAATTCATTTTGAAGGTCTTCAACCACGATGATGAGGCCGGGCAATATGCAAAGTGGATTTTGGCACACTATACGCCCAAGATCACAGCGGCACCCAAGTCACAAGCTCCAGATCTTGCCGCTTTCCTCAAGAAGATGAGAGTGGATGTGTTTTTGGGTGCAACAACAGCGTACCGCAGGGAGTTGATGAATGTGGACTTCGACAAGAAGCCCTAGCCTGGTGTTTCCATGTGCATGCTGACAGTTTTTTTTTGCATGGCGATGCAGCGACGACTGCATCAATCAATGTATCTCTTTCAGATCTATGTCAGTCGGAAATTCTGGATTTCTGGTTTGCTGTACTAATGTCAGCCAGCCCTTTCGGGGGAAGGCGCCTAGGTACCCCACCAAAAGGGACCTTGAACAACTTGGAACTTCAGAAAAATGGGTTTTAAACCATTGGTTTTTTGGCAACAGCTGAAACAATTTTGTTTCCGAGGCTGTACAGTTTACAATGTAATTGAATCATTTTTGGTGGGGAAACATACGACATGGATGCCCAAGACTAAGGACCTTCTATCACTTCTATCTTTAAGGGCTTATTCGGTTACCCTTGAACTTTTGCTGACCGGGGATGGTTCAACTCAAACAACAAAATTTTGGATTACTAAAGAACTAAGAGTTGGATTCTTCATCGGAAAGAAAATGCCGATGTGGGTTGAACAGCCGTTCTAAGTTCACCAAAAGCGGGATTCTCTACTTGAAGACAAACCGTGGTCATGTTTGCGATGGCCCAATGTCAGCTGCGCCTGGAATTGAGTCGAGGCACCAATTACTTACTGGTAACATTTGAACCAACAACCAAGTTCTAAAGATTCTAAAGCATTCCGCCAGAAACGAAACATGAAAATATGATTGCAAATTGTAAACCATATTCATTTATGAAGTTTGGTAATTATATTATGTTGATTTTCCTTTTTTAATTTTCCCTCACATTTTTTAGATGCCACATGCACTGGGAAATCATCAGATGATAATCATGAATCAGTAATAGACAGCCATATCATAGTCAGTATGCATGCAGCACATGTCAAATACAGTCCCCAAGATCACCTAAGACTGGCATTTGATTTCACTTTGCGAATGGCACAAGTATGTGCGGTTGGTGGTGCGAGTGCGGGCCATGAGGGCTCACTACCATCTTCGGAGCCGCATCAGTCCCTGGATGATTCGCTGTCAGGATGGCAGAACGAACGCCTGGAATCCAAAGTGCTGTGGTGTTTTCTGCGCTCGGGCTGGGCGGATTCTGGTGAGGTGTCGCTTTTCCCAACTTGGCAACATTTAATGAATTAGTGTTGCTCATAGTCCGAACAGTCCGAACTTCAACGATTTTTTTTGGGGCATATTCACATTCCAGAGAAAATGTTACTTCAAGTGATCCCTAATCCCTACCCTGAAACTCAATTTGTCACAGTTTCTGACTCTGACATGACATATCAGCTGGAAACATGTGTGATATAATCTTCTTACATTCTATTCAAATTCTGGCATTTTTCTGGCATTCTATCAGACATTCTATTCTGGCAGTCTATCTGGCATCTATTCTGACATCCTAACTATCTGGCGTCCTTTGTGGAATTTATATTGGCATTTTCCCTGGCATTCTATCTGGCATTTTTTCTGCCATATGTTCTGGCATACGTCCTGGCATGCTATGAAATCCGGCGCAGGGGGAGGGGAGGAGAAGGAGGAGAAGAAGAAGGAGGAAGGCAGCGGGCCAGCTGACATAAAATCTAACAACCCTCACCTGACAGGTGGGGAAACATGTTCTTAGTTAGTAGTTCGGTCACAAGCCACCCGCATGGACAAACTGACAGCCCAAGGAAAGATCATTTTGTTCAACTTAGAATTTTTCGCTGTGGGCGTTCCAGCAATGACCATGCAGTGCTATTTGACGGAACGTTTGAACCACCTGTGGCTTGCAAAGTGCTACAGCAAGGGCGTAGGCAGATGATCAAGCTGCCGCTGGTGGATCAAAGGCATTTTCGATCAAACAAGGCGTCCCTCACACTTCACATGTTGTCATTGTTCTCTTTTCTGTGGGCATGTATGTTTATGTCTATGTACGTATTATGTGTGCATCTAAGTATCTAGGTATGTAGGTATGTAGGTATGTAGTGTAGGTATGTAGTGTAGGTATGTAGGTATGTAGTGGGAGTAGTGTAGGAATGTAGGTATGTAGGTATGTAGGTATGTAGGTATGTGGGTATGTAGGTATGTAGGTAGGTAGGTAGGTAGGTATGTATGTATGTATGTATGTGTGTATGTGTGTGTATGTGTGTAAGGATGGATGGATGGATGGATGCATGGATGGATGTATGGATGCATTGATGTTTGGATGTTTGGATGCATGGATGGATGGATGGATGGATGCATTGATGTTTGGATGTTTGGATGCATGGATGGATGGATGCATGGATGCATGGATGTATGATGGACGGACGGATGGATGGATGTATGGATGTATGGATATGTGCGTATGTACCTGTGTGTGTGTCCGTGCGTGAGTGTATATGTATGTAAGGCTATGTGTGTGTATGCATATGTATGAGGTTGGGTCATTGAGAAATCGGCGGCAAGTATTGGTAAGATTCAATGTATATATATATATATACCGTAATTCAATATTAACATTACCATCTGGAATCTGAATCTATATAAATCAAATATCTTAAAGACCGAACAGCTTTTACTAGCCAATAGCACGTATCATCTATTTCATCTGTTGGCCCCCAGGAAACCATTTTCTTGCAGCCTCTCAGTGGCGGCAAGCGAGTCTCTTTCCAAGATTTGGAAGGGACGCACAAGGAGGTTGATTGGGATGAATGTGCCCGAATGGCAACCCTGGAAACTAAATCTGTTTTCAAGGCCAGAAAAAAAGTTGTAGGTCAGCTGCCACACAGGCATCAAACCGCATAGTCCTGGTCCCGGGTAGCATGGATCCAAGGCAACAACCCAATCCCTCGGAAATAGACAGCTTGTTTGCTGCAATTCTTTCCAACATGGACGCGGGGCAGTGGGACAGTGCCAGGGATGGTGTTTTACATTTGCAGAGATACCTCAAACTCACCAGCGGGAGAGAAAGTAGAGAACGAGGGGGTTGGAAGTATGCATCAGACTTTGTCTTGGATACAGTCTTATTTGGCGATGTTGTTCGCAGCCTGCAATCTGACACCGACGTGATGTCCAAAGCTGTCAAATTGAAACTAGGCCAAACAATTCCAGCATGTTTTGTGTTTATAATTTTCATTATCTGGTTGAAAGGAACAATTTCCCCAAAGATCATTGTCAGCATAAACGTGCGGCACAAACGCGCAACAACAAGAATGTCTTACATTAAAAAATCTGGAATATATTGTATAAAAAAGTGACTATATTTGTATGTAATATTAATATATATATATATATATAATATTGAAATTTAAATGAAATTTATTTGTTGCTGTCGAAATGTAGCAAACCTATCAGGGCAATGAAACTGGTTCTGGACCCGAAGTTGAGCGACCATCTGACGCAGCAGGATCCTTGGTCAACTTGACAGCAATGCAAGCGTTGATATCTGTTTCGGTATCAAAGTATCAGCCCACAATCACCTTTTGGATGAATCAGTTTTCCAGTTTACCAGATCTAGAATCAAGACTATTGGGTTTTGCAGTGCAAAGGAATTGGGTCTCCCTCAGCGGACTACGATCTATACATTCCGGATCAAAGCCGATTATTGCACCATGTTGTTCCTTGGTGTGTGTTGTCAGCAGTTTGATTGTTTCTCATTGGTTTTGATCAAGTTTATGCAATCTCACAATAAGATCAAATGGTTTTTAGACTATGTGTGAACCATAGCTGAGCAATTCTTCACCTATCTTGTGTCGCACGTTGTGTTACGCAATAGGCTGCTTCAGTTTTTGTTTCAAAATTCGTTGGTTGCAGGATGTTTACAAAAATAGTGCGGAAAACAAGATTTTGTTTTGGATATCCTATCACCCTAGGTGGTCGCGGGAGCATTTGTATAGGGATGACATTCAGTGGGCCCTTCATTTGAGGGCAGATTCATCGCCACAGTTTTCCAGAGATTATTTGGTGACAGAAGTGGACTATGTTTCTTTGGAAAATGTTTACTCGTTGACTCCCGCAAGTGTGTTGCAATCTCTGAGTTGGAAAACACGGGTGTTGCCCGTGCAAGTTCTGGGGCGGAAAGCAACCAGCACGGCATTCAAGTTTCGAGCGCTTCTGCGTAGCATCCATCTTGAAACCGGAAATGTTGATCTGGCGAAATTTCGAACATGCAGCTTTCTAAACGACATGGGGGTGGAATCGAAATTGGCATTGCTACCGGATATTGATTCTGATCCAAACCGTCGTGCTTTTCCCCGTACTTTGCCTTTGCATGATGTGGATCATGCACTACACCATGTGATGGAAGAATTACGGGAATGTTGGAAAACTGAAATGTTTGCTTTGTTTGACAAACAATTGAACACGTTGGCCAAATATTTTTCAAAAGCTGACAGTTGCGAGAGATTCCGAAAGCATTTTGTTTACGACAACCCGAAAGTAGAAGGGGATGCCCGCAAAAAAAGCATTGGCAAAATGTTTGAAACCTGCTGCCCAAGCTTTGTGAAGAATCGGTGGCAATATCGGTATGAAGTTTTGACTTGGGTCATTCACCGGGCCGGTTTTTTGACATGGCTCGATCCTACCTCACTCAGTGGCCGTGGCCCAGAGGATTCTGGAGATCCTGAGTACAGTTTTTCCGATGCTGAAATCAAATGCCTTGAGCTTCTGTTCAATGACAAGGTCGTTTCTGGATGCTTTTGGGCCCTTGCGCATGCTATGCGCTTGTTATGCGAATGGGGGCATCACTTGAGTGGATGGATGCATGGGTGTCATTGTCATCCAACAAAGGAGGAAAGGTAGCTGTTAAACAAAACTAACTTGTTAAACAGTAAATGACAGAAACCTTGAATACCCCATCAACTTTTCACTGGCATATCAGGGTTAAGCTCTCTGGGTTTACCCAACATCTGTTAAGTTTCAAATTTCACATCTCAGCTTTAACCATGGTTTGGTCCAGGACAAAGAGAGGTTGAAAAAGGAGACAGGGTCATCGACTTGCAAGTGGAACGGCAGAAGGTTGATTGAATTTGCATCAACTGGCCCCATGCCTTTCCTGCAGGCGCTGAGGCAAACTTCTATGGAACAAAACCCAGCAGCATTAGCTGCCATCCGTGCTTTGCGTGATCTTGGGGGGGATGCTGGTGGTGTTCTCGAAGGCTTTGCTACAGCAAAGCGGATGCTTGAAGGACGTTTCAAACAATATACCTCCTTCCTGTCCCAGAGCCCGTGGAACCTAGTTGCATTGTTGGGGTATCTGTTACCTTCTCAAGATGCAAGCGCAGAGATCCACAAAAGCAGAACTTTGGCCCTGAAACTATTAAAGGATCATGATGCTGGTCGGCTGGGAAATACGGGTGATGTTGGGCAAGAGTTTTTCAAAGCCCGGGGGAAATACCGCATTGGATTGGAGAGATGGGGACGTGGCATCGACCCTTACATGAACCAACAACTCTTTCGGGAACTTGTTGCTTACTCCTCAAGCCTGTTGGTGATGCAAAGGCTAGAAGCGAAGCATCATCTGATACACGTTGCTATACTTTTTAGTAAGTGTGGTTTTGTTTGTTTGCTGGGTTTCCAACAATTTTGTGCTCACTTGATAGATAGAGGTTTAAAAAGCACTAGGGCACGCAGTAAAAGTTAGGGTTTGTTTTGTTTAAGTGTGGTTGTCTGCATTAGCTTGAGGTTCGTGTTGCGGTCTCGAGATCTTTGGGGGTGGCTCACATGTCGGCCAACTTGAGACGTTCGCTTCATGACGATTTGGAACAAATTTCATTCCGCTCCAACATGGGACGTTATCTCAATAGTTTTGACCAACTGGTGGAAGAGGAATGGGCAACATTCAGGGAATTACAGGGTTTCACAAGTGGACACAATTTAAATTTGATGTTTGCTGATCGCACAGAAGACAACGCTGCAATCTTGGCAGCTTTGCCTGATGACGCATTTTCTCCGAATGGTTTTCTAGAGCAGCTAGCTCATTTTATGAGTGTGACCCGCAAATCTGGATACTACGCAGTGCCTGCAAGACACCAACCTGATCATGCCGCAACTACCTACGTATGTTTTCAAATTCTGGGTTCAGACCAGGACATAGGAAGTATATGCAAAGGCTTACACAATGGTCCACTGATGAATGGAAAGGCTCTTTGTCTTGCGCGGTATTGGGTACTTTTGATGTTTCCAAGGGTGCTGAACCTGAGAATGAACGCCAAGGTGATCCAGGTGCAACAACATTCAAAACTTGTTCATCCATGGTGCAGCCGGTACCACTGGACGACATTTTCGTCAATGACAACATTGACTACCTACATGAGTTCAAAGATGTAGTTCACCAAACAGAATTTGATGAAGCTGCAGTTCATGAAATGGTCGGGGACCCGATTTCTGATGACCCACTTGATGAATCCCTTGCGAAGCTCAGAGAAATCCTTACCACATATGGAGGTTTCTTAAATGTGGTGGTACCCCAAAACCATGGGTTCCAATTTAATACTAGCATAGCCAAACTTAAAATGATTTGGGAATTTGGGGTACCATTACTTTAGGAAATCACCAAATGTTCACACAATGTTTTCTTTCAGAAATAGTTTGCACCATTTGATAGTTTTGACTCAAACAAAAGCAACTATTTTCTTATATGGTGATAAATCCAACAAGAGGAATACAATTTGTGAACTTGGAAAACGCGGTGTGTTGAGCGGTCGTCCTCAAAAAGTGCGTGCTGAAGACCGAACAGCAGTTGAGTGGTTGGAAGAGCGCGCTTTGGCATTCTTAAATGCAAAGGGACGTCTGGTTTTTCAGTCATCAGCTCTCGTTTTTGCAACGGTACTTTCCAAAGCTGAGAGGGTCCGTGACCCGGCAAACCTCTTGGATTGCAGCCTCTGGTCTTTGCGCCGGAAGATTGTGTCTGCAGGGTGGGAAGAAGCCCAATCTGGTAAACATGCGTCGGTTGAGAATAAGCAGTTCAACAAGAAATGTGAACATCATGCATACTATGTCATTCTTTTGGAACGATGCTTGGTCAATGTCTTGTTGCTTCTGTTATGCACAATGTTTTTGCACTTACCTTCCTGAAGGTCTTATTGTTCTTGTTTCTGTCAAACTTCAAACAAACCACCTGGGATATATAAACAGTGTGCAAGTTCCAAGCTTATCCCTTTGTTTTGCCAGATTTCCAACACTGTCCAGGAAGGGAGAAAGCATTGGAATATGAGAAGGAAGGTTGTTTCTCTCACTCTTCCCAAAGCGGGGGATACTACAGGGCAATTTTGGACGCTATGATCAATCGACCCGACTCAATTGAAGATGTTCCAAAGACCATGAACAGCAAAGGTTTTGAAGCGTTGTCGGAATACTTCCGAGGAAACGTTGGCTAGCTCAGCATTTTTATCATTTTATATTTTTTTTGCACAGCTGTGTGATCACATTTCGGGAATTCAAATGTATAGGCATCCTACCACATATCACAATATATTATTATAAGTTATAAGAAGTTTTACACTCTAAGCCTTTGGGCGAAAGTATTTTTGGAATTTATTGTGATTCCGTTCGCCACCAAGGAAATCGCGCTGATGATCCAAGGTTGGATCAGGATTCTGAATTCTTTGGTTTACTGCGAAAGAGGAAGCTGAAGCCACGCAAACCTAGAGTGAAGGCAGCAAAGGATGTTCTCATTTGTGTTGATAGTGATAGCGGGTCTCCTGTCTTGAACGACAAGGGCACTGGTGCTGACACGAAACTTGCAAATATTTCGCTCTACATGGAACTATGGAACAGTTCTACTTTTTCTTTCAAAGATACAAATGCAAACATGGGTTTTGATATTTGTGTTTGTATGAACATTTTTCAACGTTGGAATTTAAAAGTGAACCAGGATTGACGACTCTGTGTCTGAGAACGAGCAAGACCCGATTGAACCAGTTCAAGTTCCACCCTGTTGGATTATTGATGATGATGATGACGATGGTGATGAACAATATGTTGAAACTCAGACTCAGCTCGATTCCGATGGGCGTGGTGCATCATTGGAACAGCCAGCAGCAGCAGAACCTATGCCAGAGGCAGACCCTATGCCAGAGGCAGACCAGGGCAACCAACCAGAACCTCCTAAGATACCAGAGTTTTCCCCACATGTCAACACAGCAGGTCACAAAGCTATTTGTTCTACATTTTTACCCGTTCTTGTCTCTGTCTTGGGGGATGATGCATGGCGAAGCAAACCCCCTCGAGAACAAGTACGACGCGCCTGTCAAAGATTCATGCCTGATAGTGGAATACTGTATATAACTAATGTTCTTTTGTGTATGATATAGGGATTCTGAAACCCATGAACTATCTTGTTGGTTTTGTGGTGACAAAACTCATCATGACTAAGTTGTGGAACAACGCGGAGAGAAGTTCTGGGGCGCTTACATGACCTACAGCAGAAAGCGCACGGTAGAAGACCAAGTTACTTGACTTGTCAGTTTGTTTTCCTTATGACTATGGTTAGAACAAGAAATGAAAAATGAAGTCAACTATTTTTACGTGGTTTCCACCCAAAAGCGATAAGAAAAGGACCCCAATGTTTGTTTTAGATTCAGGCTTAAGGACTCAGAGTAGCTTTCTTTCGCAATGACCTGGGTATTCAGGTTTTGGAGTGGTACTATGACGATGTCGTCATGAAGTGTTGTTTCACAAGGTTGGAGCGATACTTTGACAATATCAAGATGATACTGTCGTATCGTGACATTGTGTTTTAGTTTGGGAAAATAATCTTTGAGAGTTGGGGATGATGGGGTAGTCATGTGGCAAATATGGTTGTTGCATCTAAAGCCTTGCGCATCTAAGCGATTGTTTAAAGCCACTGTTAAAGTAGCTAGGATTCGTTGATTTTGTTTCTATATTTGGATGATTGCCATATGGAGTGCTTACCATTATCGCTCAAAAATATCATTGCCATTTTTGTTATCAAACGTAGTGCTGCCACCAATGCAGCACTTAAAAATGCATGGGTGGAACCCTGATGACACTGCCCCGATGTCATCACTCAAGAAGCCCGCTGCCAAGTCTCAGGACAGGGGTTTCATTCGGAGACTGAATAGTCATGCTTTTTTTGTTTCAACCAGTGTTTCATGCGACAACAAAAAATCAGTGTCTATGTCAAACCTTTGAAGGATAAGAACCTCATGAGCCACAAACAAAAGCGGTACATGCAAGCGCAAGACTCTTTGCAGGCTGGTTATGCTAAATGTTTTTTTAATTTTACAACGCTGTTTACACCTACCAAAGTTGGACCTCAACATCCAAACATCAAAAAAACTAGTTGGCCCTGTGAAGGTGAAACATCAGCGTAAGGGTTCTGCATCACCTGAGGGGCATCGAGAACCTCAAGAGGACCTTCGTCTAGCTCATGAAGAAATTTTTTCCTGGGGGAAAAGAATGTGCAAACACGCAGAAGATGCTGGATGTAGTTGTTCTTACAAGCAAATCAATGTTTTCACAGAGTTCACTGGTTCAACTTGTGCTGAAAGCGCAGTGGAGTCAATCGTCAACTTTATGGACAAGAAGAGCCGACCTGATGTCAAGTTCATGTCTATGGCAGACATCAAACACTCCTGCCGCGAAGTAGCTATGGCCACCCGTAGCTAGCTGATGTTATTTAAGTTTTGACAAATGTTTTTGGGACCAGTGAACCTTCTATCTCGTGGAAGAACCGGACAGTGAATACCAGATATCAACTATCAACAAATCTTATGTAGTGATTTACAACTCATATATGTTCTTTCTTAACAACAGTAATGATGGACGATGTGCAAGTTCTTTCTTTACGATGTTTGGTGCTAAGACCCTGGAACTTGCTGCTTTGGGGACATCCTCGATCTCCTTCCTGATCACGTACGTGACGCGGTGGACAAACCAGTGAAAGAAAAGGTGGGACCAAATTTCAAATTTCTAAAACAGTAATTGTTATTTTTAGCATGATGTTCTGTTGAAAAAAAATCAAACAATGGTGCAGATAGCAAGTGCCCCCCTGGCATCAGGTGAAATTGACAAAGGAAGACATACTGAAGGTTACCAAAGGTTTGAAATCCTCAGATTCAAACTCGCAATTTGATCAGATGTTTACCAAAGATCTCAAGCTCAAGAAGCATGTTGGAAAAGCTCAAAAATCTTGGAGTTTGGTATCTGTCAAAGGGTGCAGAGGCGCTACACCAGAGGAGAAGTTGGATGAATCAAAGTCAGCTTTCATGCGGCTTGTATCTGGCAAATCTTCCCAATACCGATTTGTTTTTGAGAGACAGTCACTTACCTTAACAAGAATCAAATGTTTTAGGTTTCAATGTTGTTTTTTTTCGTATATGTTTGTTTAAGGTTAACAACATATGTGCATGTACTCTTTACAACACAAAACAGAAAAATATACAGAAACAAACAAACGAAAAGGATTTAACCATGACATCTCATATCTTACCAATAGTTTGTCAATTGTTCGTCAATGGTTCGTCAATTCGTCAATGGTTCGTCAACGGTTCGTCAATTCGTCAATAGTTCGTCAATGGTTCGTCAATTCGTCAATGGTTCGTCAATAGTTCGTCAATGGTTCGTCAATTCGTCAATAGTTCGTCAATAGTTCGTCAATGGTTCGTCAATGGTTCGTCA